AACCCGTGATAAAGTTGAAGTATGATTAATTAATGATTCAAAAACTATTCGAAAATCTAAAACACCAGACTGATCTCGTGTTCCACATTGACCACATTTTGGGTGTTCGTTCATCAGAATAAAATCTTCGAGAGATTTTTGTGAACGTACGAGACTTACAAGATCATTAATTCTTTCAGATGCAGCCAAATCAAGCCTTGGTATATGATTACTAATAGTGATGTCGAGAGTTCGAACATTCTTTGAAACTTTGGATGCTGTAACGAATAACCGGGTTGGATAATCTTGATCAATAACAACCAAAGATTTTAATTTGTAAAGACTTGATGTCGCACCAGAAAGTTCAAAAATATTTATCTTATTGCTTGTTTCACATTCCAATAATTCTAGATTTCTAGCATTACGAATAAAAAATCGACAAAATATTTCATAAATTATTTTAAAATCAGTGGAAATATTTGGTTTATTTCTCAACCAATTTGTAGTAGCATAACTAAGGTTTTCTGTTTTTAACGATCTAAGATGTGATACATAATCATGGGAAGGTTGTTTTTCATATTTAATAATAGATTTATCATTAATAAATAACTCTCTCTCTTCTTTAGAAAAATGAGAAATATAAATATCAAGAAGTTTTGTTGCAGGTTCAGACCACCATTGACGTTCGAAAGGATGCCTCCATAAAATTGAAATTGCTATGTCAGACCAATGCCGGTTGACTAAGATACATGAGAATAAGTGAGAATAAGAAGTTGTTAAATCTAATGGAAGTAATTCTTCAAAAATGCGTTGGAGACATAATAGTGGCAGCTTTGCAGCCATCAGAGTTATTTAAAAAAATAACCAATAAAGTTACAATGACTGTTTAATTGTGAACAGATTAAAAAGTGCTGACAGGAAAGAACTCATTACAGATATTTATATATATACAAAATATACGGATTATATACATACTGTATAAAGAATTCTTTATTACAGTATTAATTTTCATTGTAACGGTTAATCTTGATAAGGTGGTTTAACATATTATTTACTGTACCGTATGTATTAAATATATATATATATATATATATATATATATATATATGAATTTTGTCACGCATATACTATTTACCGCTAGTTCAACTTTTATATTTATTTCCTAAAATTACCTATCAAAAAATTCCAAACGAATGGAATAAATACCCAAATTAGTAACATGGATTAACGTGTC